CCTGTCTCTCTCTCTCTGTCCTGTCTGGCAGCAGGCGAGCCAGCCCCTGTCTCCAGGCCCACTCGAACCCGGCGCCCTCGCGCTCCCGCCAGGCACAGAGACCCTCCTGCTCGAGCACAGCGCCCCCCTGCAGCCCTGGTGTGCAAGGCGGAGCCTGACCCTGAGACGTCTGGATACGGTGGTGAGGGTGAGGGGGGTCACAGGGGAGAGAGGAGCGAGAGAACGATTGGCTTCTGTCAGACAGAGGGTCTTGATGGATCGGCACTGCTGGTGGACAAGTTCACGGGAGGATCCGTGGGTTTGGGTTTGGGTGAGAGGGTTTCCAGGCAGCTGTCCCGATCCGACGAGCTCTTGATCCCATGGTTTGTCCTTGGTCTCACCGTAGTCTTCGTGATGAAGACGTGCTCGCTGTGTTGTCTGCCTGTGTCCTGAGCTCAGTGCGGTTCCCGGGGTTGTGGGTCTTGTTCAAGGGCTCCAGGCCTTAAGGTGGACTCCGTTCCGCACATGTGTCTAGGTTACTGTTATCACCTAAGGCTGGCTCTGACGTCTACCGGTTTCCTGTCGGTGAACATCAGATCAGACAAAGACAGGAAGAGCCCTGTCACTCGCGGCTCGGGTGTCTGGGCTTCAAGAACATGGCTGGGCAGCTTGTTCCCCGCTCCTAGCACCCTTAGTGTTGAGAAGCTCATCTGCATGTTCTCCAGTGTGCTGGGGCGGGTTGCGTTTAACTCTTTCCTCTCTTTGTCTGTGCAGGTGCTGCAGAGGAACTGCTGTCCCAGGCTGGGGTGAGGTGAGTGCTGACCTGTCTCTGCATGGTCAAGTGTGTAATAGGGACAGCCTGCTTCTGATGTGCTGTAAATCTGCTGTCTCTGCTCTCTGCTGCAGTGAGGAAGATGAAGACATTATGATCAGTGAGGAAGACCCCCCTTTCAGAGATGACCCCAAAGACCAGAACTACAAACCTGAAACAGAGAGGTACTGAAGAAGCAGAACTAAAAATCTCTCTCTCAGTGCAGTGTTAATGTCCTGGAGTGTCCAGTCAGTGTGTCTGTACTGTATTAACCCCTCTCTCTCAGTGCAGTGTTAATGTACTGGAGTGTCCAGTCAGTGTGTCTGTACTGTATTAACCCCTCTCTCTCAGTGCAGTGTTAATGTCCTGTAGTGTCCAGTCAGTGTGTCTGGACTGTATTAACCCCTCTCTCTCAGTGCAGTTTTAATGTCCTGTAGTGTCCAGTCA